TCTTTTTGGTAAAATAGTCTCAAATACGTAATAAAACGTTTTTCGGGCCCTTTTATTCAGACAACTTAACTGTCTTCATACAGATCAGTTGCCACCCTCGTCCTCAGAGAACGGAACGCCGCTCCATGACCACTCGAGGGATCCGCGCGACCGTCGCCCGCGTCATTTCCGGACGGGCCCGGACGCGGCGGACGGCTTGCGAACAATGTGTGGCACATGAACGTGGTATGTACTGAAGTTATTAAAAGAGGTAAGTAAGTACGACGGTTATTTGCAATTAACTGAAAGTTAAAAATCTCAGAATAGATCTCAGGGATGTCTCAGTTAAAAAACATAACGATAGAAGATCTTGGAAGTGACAACATAAGAATACAATGAAATTCATTAGCTTAATTTAAATTAAAACATACGGAAATTGTGAAACTCCATATGGGCATTGTCCAGCAATTGACGGCATTAGGTTGAGATAGAACGAGAAGACATACATGAATACTCATATAAAACAAGTTCACAAACCGCGATAAGAACATCAATTTCAAGTCACTAAAAGTAAAATACTACACTTCTTCCTCAGAAAATGTTAGCATAAGTAAAATCAAGTTGCTACTCAGTAAATTGGGACGGGATTTCTCTAGCGAATGATATCTGACACTTGCGAATATTAAACTTGCCGGCAGAAGACGCCATGCTGGATTCGACTGATAACGTAATCAGGTCTGCTGATTCAAAGCTTCGGTCCTGGCATTTAAAAATAATTATATAAGACGGTTAAAGAACACAAAAATTAATGCTTAAAATTCATTTTAATTAATAGCAACAAATTAAAGTCTGATGTTAATAATCCTAATTGCAATTTCAAAATGAATTTTCACTTTTTTTTGCATTTTTTTTAATATCTTATCTGTGTTAAACTTATAAGCTGTATGTTTTTCAAATCTAAAAATGAATTGATGTTCGTTAGTCTGCTTAAAACTCGAGAACGGCTGGGGCGATTGAGCTGATTTTGGTTTTAAAATGTTTGTCGTAGTCCAGGGTAGGTCTAAACGGTGAGCAAATACGCGCGCGATATTGTTTTTCTGTGACAGAAATTCCACGCGGGCGAAGCCGCTGGCGGAAAGCTAGTAAGGAATAAAACATTGATACGTATAAGGAGCTCAAGGGTTAAGCTACCTAATATAGTCTTCCGGTCCAGTCTGATTCCTATAAAAGTTCTCTTATCATGTTGATATTCTTAAGTCCGTTTGGAGCACCAAAGAGGCGTGCAAGAAAGGGGAAAAGAAGCTGTGATTTTGTCTGCAGATAGGTCGTCGAAATATTGCCAAAATAAAATAAAAGGTTAATCCAGTAATTCGGGCATGATGGATCCGATGAAGCCAGCTCGTTATTAATGCAGCGTTTGTTTGCACGCAGCGGAGTGGCGGCAGGAAACCGCTTGAGGTTGCCAGGGTAGCCGCTAACTTAATACGAAAAATATAATAATTTCGAGAATGCAGCTGAAATATTTATACAATCTATCATACTGAAAACTGAAACCTATACCAGATCGGATCAAATAATACCTTTTGAAAGACGAGCAAACGGAAGGTCGTGGCATTATCTACCTACTGAGATGCCACGACCACGACACAATGCTGAGTGGATAAGGTATTCAGTATCAATGTGTATGTAAAGTTTTGTACATGTTATAATGTGTGAATAAATATTTTTTTATTTTGTTCTTTCAAAAACTGTCTGTTATGAAAACAAAATTTCCCACATGCGGAAAGAGGCCAGAATTCATGGCACATGCTAAATCTTTTCGAAAAATACAACGGTGAAAGCTCACAAAGCGGCTGCAGTAACTGGCAGCTTTTCATAATAACAGTCAACGGAGACAGGTAAGCTGGACGCTTGAAAACTCTACACCCTTTTTCGAGAGAGAGGCACCCCTATTACCTAATATCCCGGAACGCGTCCCGCAAACTTCCATGCTAAGCGGTAGATAAGAACGTTTCATCAGCCCTATAATATGCTACTTACGTGGATAATAAACCTAATAGGAAAATTCACGGTCGCCTAACCTGGTGAAGGACAACAGTGCCAAAATGATTGCCGGTTCGAACCCCATCGGTGACGGATGTGATTAGCACGAGGATTAAGACATTGTAAATATGAGTACCAACATCTTATGTATCTGTTTTAGTTGTAGCTTGATTTGAGGGTAGGTTTTGATGAATTAGATGAGAAAAAATTAATAAAGTTGTCCGATAACTCATTACCTAACCTACTTATTGTGATAAATCTCAGCTAGCTTCAGGTAAGGTAAACTTAATTAAAACATAATTTTGTTAGCAGTTCTGCTTAGCCCTCTGGCAGCTGCCTTTGGCATCCTATTTATAATGGACCTCCGCGTATTAATTGTGAGCAGAAACTTTCGGGTGTAATAACCTAAGTTTGAGCAAACAAAGTACGTAATAACGGTAAAACCTGGCAAATAGCTAAGGTACAAATAAACATTCTTTGTTGGCCAGAGCTGTGTACCGAACTGCCGGTGAAGTCCGAAACATACTATGCAAACTTCTACGACTTTCGTTGCTAGGCTAACCAGCTTAATATTTCAACCAAAATTATATAGTTTTAGGATACGGCTTTGCCTGAGAGGATATCGGTCTGTCACAGACTGATATTCTTTAACGCCCGTGCGTCTCCCATTTAAAAAGAGTTAAAATACAATATTATTTGAGCCTCAGGCAGGAATAATATAGTTTTCTACTGGTGAAAGAATTTTCTAAGTCGGTTCAACATTTTTGGTGCAAAGATAGCTCAGGCTAAATGTATCTTTGGCGACGTCTAGCGACACGCCACTACAGTCATCAACCAACAGATGGCGCTGACACCTACCTTACTATGGCACACGCCACCGCGCCTACAAACCTGCATCGCGGTATCGAAGTTTTCCGCCCTGTCTGAGAATATTTGGAAAACTGAGATGGTAATAACTGGACCTTGGTCCCCGAGCACAGCACTCGCTCGGAAAGAAGCAATTCCACCTTAGCTTCCTTATTGAGTTATCCTCAAATCCCACATAAGTATCTATTATTAAATTAAACTGGTCATAAAATTACCTACTTAAGTTTCTTGCAAAAAAACTAACGACTGACTGTAAGGAATATTAAAATCAGTAGGTTAGTTATAAACGAACAATTTCCAATGAACTAAATTTAAAAACATCCATCGCATGAACATTATTCTTGCCGTGGTTTGATATTGTTCAATGATACGACTTCCCGACCAATGGCGCTAATGCTATTAGCCGTATTGACGCCATCCGCCCGATTTGGAGAGGACACCAGAACGGAGCCTCATTAACTGCTGGAGGTCATCCTCAAACTGGCCGCATTGTGAAAAGTGCGAAATACGTTCTTGTTGCAACTACTCATAGCAAAAGTAACTTTAACCCACGGCAATAAAGTTTACAGTGGAGTGGGGGGTAACTCGATATTAACTACAGCTGGTCTCCAACCAATCCTCTTACTTACGACGCGTTGTCGGAGTTACGATACTCTTTATTACACCGAGCCACTGCCGAGAAAATGCTAAGGGCCACTCGTATAGCGAATAACTGTTTACGAATTCATATAGGAAAGAAAAACGGGACCTTTGCTTTGTGGACATAGCCTGAAATAATACTGTAGGTAATTTCTCCAAAAGACTTCAACCATTTCAGACAAATAAATAGCTTTAATTTCATGTTTATGAAGGAGAAGGAATAATGTAATAGAAAATATTTGTAGATTGTTTGTCTTAGTTATTATAAAGTTGATTCAACTTGTACGACGAAGAAACGCTGTCACGTTTCACGCGAGCGTGACTACCTCGTTGTGAAGTCAGTTTCAGATTCTGATCAAAGATCTAGAATTCTAGATCTTGGAAGACATTGAATTACCTACCTACTATGTTAATAGAAAAATAGGGTAATACATTTTTTCTATTAATGCAAATAATAAAGTATGTGTATTCCGGATAAAGAGTAACTACCTATAGGCTATACCTAATTCTAAAATGTCTTTAAAAATAAATTCTGAAACCATTAAAAAAAATACTATTACATTCCGTTCTAATATGACAAAGTAACCATGGCAATCGACCCAATTGGCATAGTCATTTCATGTTCACAGTCATCAGTTTTAAATTTAAGTTTAAATGAACACCGAGGTCTTGCGTTATTATTCTAAGACCTAGGTACAATATTTTCTTCAAACGACTAACTTGATACGTTGTAACGGTAATGCGATACTAACATGGACAAGTTCTCACATACATCAGCGGTATTTATCGATTAAAGACTGACACAAGTCGCCTACTATATTACGAGTGGCAGTAAAGTAGGCACTATCAATTATTCTGTTCTTTAACTTCATGTCAACACGAGTGACGAATGTCAGAATAATAAATAACGTTATCGACCACGTTGTGTCATTCGGCAGTGAACACCTTCGGTTGTGTGGGCACATAAATAATACCTTGCGTAATTAACGCGCTATCATGTAATTAAGAAATGTTATTGTACATTACATTACAAACACTACCATCCATTGATAAAGAATAGTTTTACCTCTAATAAAAAGCGTACGTAAATCTACTTAAAGTAAAAGTAGAAGATAAAGTTAAAATAATTATGATACGCAATAATTATTAATGTTAAAATATAAGACAAATTAGAAGTGGGGACAGTAGGGAAATGTTAACATACTCTTTATTATTTTTAGTGGGTAGGCAACTAACTTTTTTGATTAAGTTTTCGTAGTAGCCTTTTTTTAATAAGTAATGACAATTTAACATTAGTAATGTTTTTTTTTTAAATTATGTAAAATAAAAAATGGTTCAAAATGTAAATTAATTTTTATTACTTTAGTTAGTTACTATAACCGGACTAATCCCAAAATATTTTATTATCTGGTTTTCAATGAAAACAATACAATATTCCCATTTGTCCCCACTTATGAAGATGAGCCACTTACCCCAGCAGAGCGGTCTCCTCAGCATTCATGGATGGCATTTTCTCCGGATCCTTCTTTTCGTCCTCGTCAAAGTTATTCCTGAAATAGTGCAGTGTACATAGCTTACTCGATGTGGGCCAACGTGCCGTTATGGTCTACAGTCGAAAGATGGGGAAAGATAATGACCCAAATGAGCGAACTGGGGACTAGAATGATTCAAATGATGATAAACCAAAATAATTTTCATTCAAAAGTTACTTTTCAATAGTTCGCTTTGCGCACAACTTTTTTCAAAAGCAGATTTTCTTTCAAATTTTGTTTATTATACTAGTTTTATCTAAAAATATTTATAGCTTCTAAACTTACAGTCTTCATTTTTAAAAATTAATGGTGTAAATAGGTAGAAAATTTAAATTTTGCTTTTTCAATTCTGAATTAAGCTGTGCAAATTATTTCTAGATTAATTAATCTTCGTAACCACTATCACAATGTTAAAATAATTGTAAAGATATTTCTAGGCAATATTAGGGTAAGTAACACGACTTGGGTTATGTTATGTAAGATGTCTTCATACCTGAACTTTACAAGTTCTTTAAAAATTACACAGAGAAACTGACACAGTAACATTTTAATAACAAAACATGCAAAGAAAAAGTAAAGCCAGACGTAACTGAAGAGTTATGTAAACGACAGACACCGGACAAATGGAAAAGTGCACACAGAAGCAGGTGAAAAGCTTGCGGGGCTACTCACTTGGTGAGGACCTCGGTCATGTCAGACCCGCTCTGGTCAACCAACGGCTTGAACTTCTTCTTGGCCACCGCTTTTAAACGCAGCATTTTCTTTGCGTCTGCCTTTTTTTTTGGCAACGTTGTACCTCTGTACACCTGATCCAGCGATGTGTACGACCCACCGCTCAGCAAGCCCCCAGGCATGCCAACTTAATATCAAAAAGAAAAAACAAAGCCTCAAATTAAAAGCAAAATAAAGATAACAACCAACAGATAACATGCACATTCATAGTTTGAAGAAAAGAAGGGAGAAAATACGAAAAGGGTTGGTTCGAAAAAGTTTTCGCACTTTGCAGTTTGAATAAAGTTAACTTTACTGCACAACTAGTTACGTGAGTTGCAAGTGCAGGCGATAGTTTGCACTAACATTTTAACAGTACTTTGGAGGTGTTTGATTAAGTTTTTGTCCTTACCTCGATTATAGGAAGTGTAGTTAGTTTTAAAGAGTCGGCGGACCGGCGTCTCTGGGTCGGATACACCAGGGAATGACACTTGACGGCACTGTGCGAGCACGGACCCCGAGCGACTGCGGGCTCTGACCGAAACCGTGCTGTACAGAACTCAGCCACTTACGGTGCGGCTCACTTCGCGCGCTATTCCAGCGCATGCGTCCACAAATACGTCAATTAACCAATTTACTTCCCGGGAAGTTACGAAACGGGCTACAAACAGCAAAGTACGAAAAACTTGTGTGCGTTAACAACGATCTAGTAACTACCTTCAAATCACTTTTCTAAAGTAAATCAATTACTTATCATTCACTTCTAACAGTTTACGTGATGTAGGTACTCGTAGAACAAAATTTTAACTAAAATGCATGCAGATTTTAAGCTTATAAAACACCTTACATTCTTCGTAGTACATGAATTATTCGATATAATCTCACTGCACGGATTGAAAACTGTTGATTGACGATAAATATAAACGTGATAAAAACAAAACAAACTTGCTGTAAGCAGCTGATAAAACTTATGTCAGACCTCGACGAAAATTGCCAACATTAAAAAAAGAAGAAGACTTATGTCAAATTACGTCATTCTGTTCGTTCGTTCAAGGCTGCGTTCACATTTTGATTATTTTAATTGTAGTGATGTAACATAGTTAATTAATTTTACAGTGCTTTAAATGTTGTTAAAATTATTTTTATTTTGTGATGACTAGTTTTTTAAATAAATATTCTATTCGATAATCAATATTTTACTTTAAGTAAACGAAAAGTTATGCCTAATTAATAAAGTAAAAATACGAATGGTTGTACCAAAAACTGAGCAACGGTGACCAACGATCCAGTAATACTTTACTGGTTGAGGAGAGTTGGTAAAAGTGGATAATTTTATTATTAATCGTACAATTTTTCAAAGTATACTTTAAGTTAATATGACTATCTACAACCTACTTAATCCCTGAAACGAAATCGATTTTGTAAGAATGGATGGATAAATGTTTGTTACTCTGTAATTAACGCAGTTAACGCTGAAATAGGCTTAGTAAACCACTGAACTGATTCAGACAAATAATTCTAGGCATATTTTTACAAACTCATTTTATAAAGGCTACCTGTGTTACAATATTTATAATCTGTATGTTTTCCTATTAAAAAAAATGTTTATGAGATAATTGGAGATCCAGAAAAAACAGAGTTGAGGATAGATTTTTATTCTAGTTTTAGAAACAGGTTCTTGTCAGACTAAAGATTCAAGCTTGTTTTTAAAATAAAAAGTTAAAATAATGGCGTTCATTACCTTATTAAATGATCTAGAAATAGAAAAATGATCCACTGTGTGTCCTAGAGAGAGATGAGGCGCTCTGGTCAGCAACAATGGTTAAAGGCTCACGCACACAAGTGACTTTTGTCGCCGTGACTTTTATTTAGTGTTTCTCCAAACATACGAATATTACTACGTTGTCTCTCTTTTTCTCTTGTTAAAGGGGAATAAAGAAAGATAGAAAGTCTTATTCTATTCTATTCTTAAACTTACTTCTATTGTGTATTACCTGTTTTTTTTACACCTTTTTATAGAGAAAAAGAAACGCCTTCAAACTATTCACTTCCGATTCGTACCAGAGGGGGACACTGGTTTTTTTTTACTCAAAGTTCCCCATGCCATGCTGTAACCCAATCTCCCCTAACCAGCAGACACAGATTGATTGAGTAGGTACCTGCCACACACACACAGTTTTGTTTCGGGAATGAAAATGTTTATGAATTTAAGTAACAAAGACAGATTTTACTAATTTGCTTTAAAAGTTACCTATCTCTGTTGTGCGCGCGAAGAAAAGTCCCTTGCTTTTGGTCTTATTTAAAAAATGAAAATATTATGTAACAAAATAAATAAATAGCAAACCGGGCCGGTCTGTATTTTTTTTCTTTATTCGTTTGTTGGCTTTACACGGCTTGTGTAAATCTGTTTTATTTTCATAGTGAATTAATTTCAAAGAAATATCTACATCAGCGTACTAGTAGTGTCATCTATCGCTAACAACCAGTACTAGGTGTGCTCAAAGTAACACGTACGTGTCGTTCTTGCTGTGAGAATACTTTTACCAAAAAGCTATATAGATGTCGCTTTCTCGCTGTTCCAGTTCCGAGTATTTACGTAAGATGACACTACTGGACGGGCGGGCTTAAACCAACCACTTGTATAGAACAAAATAGAAAATTGTACTTCAAGCCATAGAATAGATAATAAATAAAATATGGCAAAGCAGTCCTATGCTTAAGTTACTATAACTTCCTACAAATCATCAATTATAAAATGGAAGAGCGCAGTCTCCCGGCCAAGCGAAAGGATTCGATTCCCGTCTTATGTTAATTATGGAATGACCAAATAACACGTAGAAGTTCCACTCAAAAGTACATAAAAGTGTTATACACTAGTATCAGAAGCTTCCGTACTGTTTGATCTAATTATACACTAGGGTGTTTGGCGGAAGGTTATACAAACTTTGCGGGTGTATAAGTAGGTAAGGTCATTTTAAGAATACAAGTTCGCCCATTTGACCCTAGTAAGTGAGCTAACTTTTTTAAATTGATATTTTTGTTTTTATTTATTTTTTTCCGTTTGACCTAAAAAGTGCTTCAATTTTCTTTCTCGCGTGTTTTCAAACAATTTTTTTATTTGATTAACAAAAGTACAAACCACGATAAAAAATTCTACTTAGAATTCGATTAAAAAAATTGATGGTGATAATGAATTGCCAATGATCATAAAACTTGGACGAATAAACCAAGTCCAAGTTCCAATTCGTCCAACTCTTAAAAACATCTCTGGCTTCTGTTCTTTCCAATGATATAATTATCAAATGTACTTAGTAGTAATTAGATTAATTAGATATTGAATTTCGTCAAAAAGTCAATGTTTAGGGAAGAAAATTGAAAAATAATACAAAAATTATCCTTTGTATGGATAAAATTTTTGTATTATTATTTTAGATCTCCTTCAAACAATAACTATTTATGTGTTTTATTTTAAAATCAAATTAAAAAATAATAACTATAGGAAGAATACTATAATTAGGTACTGACTACTGCGTGCGTCGAACACTGGGGGACTCGGCCACGGACCCGACAAAGCCCCATACAGGGAGCATCCCAAAAGCAGGTTTCCATATAGGTTCGAAAGCCGTTGTAGCGACGAACGCTGTTGCGAATTTTTTTCCACTGCCTCATAGCATAGACAGGTAGGTTCGAAAGCTCATGGACTCGAACGACGCTGTTTCGAAGCCCTTCCATAAGATAGTCCTAGAGGCACAACTCAGTCTTAAAATCATAAAGTAAGTAGGTAAGGTTAAGGGTAAGTAGTTTTTGAACTATTTTTTTTTTGTTTTCCCATTTAGAAGAGTTGTAAGCAGGGCCGCGCCGCCCGGGCGCCCCTGTGTGCGATGTGTGCGGCGCACACAGGCGCCAAGACAATAGGGGCGCCGCGCCGCTTCTGCCACCTAATTTTTTTAAAATGGAGTATAGAGTAAGTAGGTACCTACAGTATGCGCAACATAGGCCTTGTACACAACAAAACAAATATTACGCTTATTAAACAAGTCTCTCAATATTTATATTATGTTTATTATGATTNGCGCCGCCCCTGTGTGCGATGTGTGCGGCGCACACAGGCGCCAAGACAATAGGGGCGCCGCGCCGCTTCTGCCACCTAATTTTTTTAAAATGGAGTATAGAGTAAGTAGGTACCTACAGTATGCGCAACATAGGCCTTGTACACAACAAAACAAATATTACGCTTATTAAACAAGTCTCTCAATATTTATATTATGTTTATTATGATTCACGTTTATGGTTTCATTTTACGCTTAGGGTTTTAGTTTGATGTAGTCCCTAAGTCGCCTCTTACGACACCCGCGGGAAGAGTAGGGGTTGGTGACAAATGTATTCTACTCTGCCGTCACCACACGGCATCAAACAGAGAATGGGCAGCAGCGCTCTCTGAAAAACATCAATCTTTTAAACTGCGATCTCCAACCCGCCTGCCAAGCGTGGAGATTATGGCAAAACCCTCCACTATAGTGGAGGAGGCTCATAGTCCAGCAGTGGACTGTAAAGGGCTGTTGATGATGATGATGATGTTTTAGTTTACATTACTAAACGTTAAAAAGCGCGGCAGTTCTTTTGAACCTCAGATAAAGTACTAGTTATTTAGAACCGTAGAGGCGCCGAGTTTGTCATACAATTTTTTTATGACTATGAGTGAGTTTATGAACGCAACCCGATGCGATGCGTTCGACACAAGCGAGATGGGGTCACGGGGATTCCCCGCCACGGGGATTTTAACGAACGAGAAAACGAGATAGCCAAGCCAAAACCACAGTATACAGGGTGTTTGGTGAAAGGTTAGACAAACTTCGTGGGTAAAAAAACTGTAAATTCTTAAAATTACCTTCTTACCTATGGGTAAGAATACAACATAGGATTCGATTTAAAAAAAAATTAAAGGTGATAATGGATTGCTAACTTAAAAACATGTCTAACTTCTCTTCTTTTTTTTAATTAGATATTGAAATTCGTCAAAAATTCAAAGTTTAGGGAAAAAAATGGAATAATAATACAAAAATTATAATTATTATAATAGGGTCAAATGGGCGAACTTGTATTCTTATACAACCACGAAGTTTGTCTAACCTTCCGCCAAACACCCTGTATCATTTGATAGAAGGTGTAAGGTGCGCATTGAATTATTATAATTGAGTTTACTTTTTCGTAGTAGGTCTTAATTGGCAAGCAGAACGAACGGGATTTACCTATTTAGTAAGCTAATTCCTAAGTGGTTTCCAGTTTTAATACACTTATGATAATATTATCTAAGTAGGTACTGTAAATTTAAATTCATTTATTTGCACAGGAACATGGTACTTACAATACAGATGTCAGATAAAAACAATCAGGTTCAACATGTTTCGTCTACAAGACATGCAAAAATTTCATAGTCAATTACTTAATACTTAAAACTGGAGAACATCTATTTTAATCAAAATTAATAATTAAAATATTTTTAAAAAATTTAAATTCGTTTTTTTATGACGATTCATTAGAAAAGAGGCGCTTCATAGGTTCCGCACACAGGCGCTGCCGGCGGTTGGCGCGGCCCTGGTTGTAAGTAAGTAAATAGGTAAGTAGTATTTAATTTTCAGTAAGCAAAAATAAGAGTTAAGTGGAGTCTTGACCATGACTCATGACGCATTACCAAGTTTAAAAATAATCGAGAAACAAAATCATTATAAACCATTTTTGTTTTGATTTGAAGTCCGCATCGCACTCGCAATTGAAACAAGCAATTCGCGACAATTGACTAAATCACGC